CACCTATGACCCTAGCACTTGAGGAGTTGAGGTAGAAAGATTGAGCCAGGGCTACAAAGTAAGACCCTATCTCAAAAGAAAATTCTTTTTTAGTATCCTACTAGTTGTGTGTGTGTGTGTTTACATATATATGACAGACTTAGTTAAAAGAATTACTGTGCTTTTTGTTTTTCTTCCAGAAAAGCAATTGCTTTTTGTAGTTGCTGCAAGGAAAATAAAGACTTACTTGCTTTTCTCAGGGATTAGCATCACCACATAAACTGTCCCCAGTGAAACCCATGTTGATCAAGTATCTCACATAACCTAAGATGGAGTCTCCTCCTCCTGATCCGAGTGTGCCTGGCAGATGAGGAAGTAAATCGGCTGACATTCTAACCTGTGCTTTAAAGGAATGATCCAATTCCTTTAAAGAATCATTAATTCATTTTCTTCATTTAGGTTCCTTTGTACCCGCAGTAATGGTAGCCTGGTGGTTTTTACTCATGTGCTTAAATGTGTTTGAGCAACTTACCTTTAGGCGTCAATCAATCACCTGATGACACACCTCTTATACACTTTTCTTTTGCTATGTATTCTAATGTTATTGCTTTACATTAATAAACTTTGTCAAAATTCACATCATTGTATTTTTCAGTTCTGAGACAGCCATTAGAAGATGTAACATTGATTTAATAGGTTTGGAGGACAGAAAGAAACTCATTATTAAATAGACGTATTTATAATAAAATGAATATTGTTTTTTGTAAACATCAAAATGGGAAGGCATATGTCATTTTAAAAAGTGTAAGTTAATAAAATGGCTCAAAAATGATGAATTAATATTAGCTGTGTTGCTGTTTTCCAATATTTTGTTGTTGCTGTTTTGATTTTAGTAATGTATAATAATATTTTCTACATATGATTGCCCTGCTTGTGATATTCATTAATTTGCCTAAATCAGGTGAGATACTATATCAGTATTTAACCGGTGTTTGTTATGAACCACGTATATTTCATATGCTTTTAGTCTTCATTCTAAAGCCTCAACATTTGTCTGAGGTTTACATTACTTAAATTATTATTTTTCACATTAACAGGGAATTTAAAATCAGCTATGGGAAAGCCAAGCACAGTGGCACTCATCTTTAATCCCTGCACTTGGGAGGCAGAGGCAGGTGGATCCCTTTGAGTTCAAAGCCAGCCAGGTAGAAAGAATTGCATACCCAACAGAGCCTGGAAGGCAGCAAACACATGCTATGGGTTCTGTGGTGGTTCTGACCATGCAGCAGGGCTCACACACAACCCAGAGGACTCACGCACCCCACTGAAACGGGAGGCAGCAAGCATGGCTGCCTTCTCGCGATGCTCTGACTTCTTCCCTGGAAACTTCAGGGTTTTTTTTTTTGTTTTGATTTGTTTTTTGTTTTTCCCTTTTATTTTATTTTACAATACCATTCAGTTCTACATATCAGCAACGGGTTCCCTTGTTCCCCCCCCTCCCCCCCCCCCCCCTTACCCCCAGCCTACCCCCCATTCCCACCTCCTCCAGGACAAATCCTCCCCCGAGGACTGCGATCAACCTGGGAGACTCAGTCCAGGCAGGTCCAGTCCCCTCCTCCCAGACTTAGCCAAGTGTCCCTGCATAAGCCCCAGGTTTCAAACAGCCAACTCATGCAATGAGCACAGGACTCGGTCCCACTGCCGAGATGCCTCCCAAACTGATCAAGCCAATCAACTGTCTCACCTATTCAGAGGGCCTGATCCAGCTGGGGGCCCCTCAGTCTTTGGTTCATAGTTCATGTGAAACTTTTTTCAGCATTGATTTTCATGGTTCTATGACGGCCATTTTCCCATGACCTAGGGATAAGCAAGGTCTGCTGGGGTTTTTTTTGTTTGTTTGTTTGTTTTTTGGTTGTTTTTTTTTTTAATCTAAGTTGTTTTATTACCAGTAAAGACTTGGGTGTCAGATATTGGAATGAAAACCTGATAGATCAAAGAAGGGGCAGAGGAGTGACCAGCTGACCTTTTTTTTTAACCAGAGCCCCAGCAGGAGCATCTTTCCACCTGTCCCAGACCAAAAAAGACCGTGAATCTCTAAGTACCTCCCTACTCTTACCTCTGCGTCTCTCTATCCATATTCCTGGCTCCTCCGTCCTCTCTATGGCTAATTCCTGTCCATTAGTCACTGGCTCCGCCCCCTGATCCAAGGTTAATTTTATTAACAACGTCTGAGAGTTTCAAAGTGTGCTCAAATATCCCACAACAGTTAAACAAATTTAACAGCTTTGTTAAATTGCCCTTCTGTGTAGCTAGGGGACATAGCCCGCTGCCTGCAGACTCTGTCTTCGAATATGTTGTATTCTAGTAAGCCCAAATGGAAATGTTAGAATTTTCATCAGCAACGTGGACTTTTATTTTGTAGACTTTTGGTTTCATTTTACTTGATTTCTTTGTTTTATTTTGTTTTTTTTTTTTTTTTTTTTTTTTGTCTTTTTTATTTTTGAGATTCTATCTTTCATTAAAAAGGTGTTAAATGTCACAGAGCCTAAAAGGTTTCCTCCCTGGCAACAGAATCTGCCTTTAATGGTAGATAAGAAAAAATTAAACTTTTCTTCTTCACTCAATCCAATTGAATTCAACCAGACCAGGGTTGGAGAGCTTAAGATTTTCAACATCCAAGGAAGACTAGTAATCCCAGCTCTTAGGAGGCAGAGGCAGGAGGACTTCAAGTTTGAGGCTCATGAGTTCCAGGCTAGCTTTCTCCTTACATTTCAGAAGTACCTGTAAATGTACAATTTTGGGGATGTCAATGAGTATCCCAGGAGAAGAGAATTCCAAAGGGAAATGAATTTAAGAAGTGTATCACCTCAAGTCCATTCCTGGTGTGGCTGACACCAACGGTGTTGACATGTGTGCCAGTAAAATATGTACAAACATATTTTAAAATAATATAAAATATAAACATTTAGCTTAATCCTACCATTTTTTTTCCCAGAGCTGAGGACCAAACCCAGGACCTTGCACTTGCTAGGCAAGTGCTCTACCACTGAGCTAAATCCCCAACCCCTTGGTTATAGGTTTTTCTAAGATCTTTTATTTTTTTATTTTATGGATGAATGCTCTAATTGCCTGTATTCATTTACGCCAGAGGAGGGCATCAGATCCCCCTAAAGATGGCTGTGAGCCACCATGTGGTTGCTGGGAATTGAACTCAGGACCTCTGAAAGAGCAGCCTGTGCTTTTAACTGCTGAGCCTTCTCTCCAGCCTCAATCCTACCATTTCCAACCTTCTTGGATCACTAAAAATTTCCACTTAACAATTTGAATTTTCATAACCTGGTGAATCTCTTCTGGAGTTTTGAAATACCAACATTGGAGGGAGGGTCCCTTATGCTCTGTTATAATATTTTGTTTGAAGAAGCGATAAGATACCTCCCTGGTTGAAAATAATGTCAAGTCACTAAACTAGTATTTGTTGTAAATATTCAAATGCATCATACAAAAGCCTACCTTCTCCATAATTTTTAAGCTACTTTTAGAAAACATTTTATGCATATGGATCTTCTGTATTATATGTATGAGGTCATGGGAGGTCCTATTTTCATAAGTGTAAAAATGTGTATTATTTATTCAAGCCTTAGCCTGCATGCTTTGGAAAGGAAGGGTCAGTGTTTCCAATGCTACCAACTGCCTCTTTAAGCATGTAAAGCATGCATATTGGTACACAGGTGTCTCAGGAAGGGGCTATTCAGTGTCTCTGAGAATAAGATTGCACAACATATTTTGGAATTCATAAATTTGAATGAGTAAATTTTCAATTATGTAGCACTGGAAATACCAGTCCAATCTTGGGGAAATGCCTGTAAAGTTCTGAAGATGATTATGGCTAAACTTCATAAAATGGATTAATTTATATTTATTAATTTGAGTTTTGGCTTCTTAAGTACAGAAGGGAAAGTCTGGGGTTTGCTGGGTGGAAACAAGTTCTTAAACAGTCTCCAGCAGCTTGTGTGCCAGTGTCTAAATGAATATGATATGTGAATAACACTTGACCTTGGTTTCAGCTAGGAATAAAAACTTGGAAACCCCCTCCATCATTTTCCCACTGACTTACAAGGAAACTCTGGCATAGCTCCATTTCTTAATCTATGTCTTCATTGGAATTATCCAGCGCTCATACCCTTTTTTTTTTTTTTTTGTATTCTCCTTCTGGGTTTTTGTCTGTGCGCTTAAAGTTTACCCGCAGGTGCATGGTCTCCTGCGGCTCCCTCGACAGTTGCAAATACTGCGTAGTCTCTCTCTTCTCTTCCAGATCCTCTTCCTCAGGTTACTTGGATGAAGTTCTTTCTTCCTTGACTTTTTCCTCCTGTTTCTTGTTTCAGAGGAAGATGAGGCCTCTCCGCCGAGTGCCCTGCCTCCAGGTTAGGACGACTCCCTGGCCCAACTGTTAACTCATTAGTTCATTGTCCCCCTGAAGAGTTGTCCTGCTGCTGTAGAATAATTGTCCCGCTGCAGAGCTGGGGAAGCGAGAGGGGAATTATTGGCACTAATGATGATTTCAAAGAGAAACTTCAGAAAAGGAAGATTTCCTAGCCAGGTGTGGTGGTACACACCCATAATCCCAATACTGGGAAGGCTGAAGCAGGAAGAATCTCAAGTCCAAGCTAGCTTGGGCTACAGAATAAGTTTCAAGGTCAGCCTGAGTTACGTGGTGAGACATCTGGAAGAAAGAAAGAAAGAAAGAAAGAAAGAAAGAAAGAAAGAAAGAAAGAAAGAAAGAAAGAAAGAAAGAAAGAAAGAAAGAAAGAAAAAGAGGGAGAAAGAAGATAGATCTTGAACATGAATGAGTTTAGAGATGAAAATGTTTGTCTTCCATTTTCATCTACATATCCAGCTCCCCCGACCCTTATTTGTATGTTTAAATTGTATTTTTGTTCTTAAAGAAGACAGACTTGTAACAGAGTCCTTCATAGATGGGATGCTACTGATTTTCCACTCAAGTCAACTTGTAGTTTTCTTCCTCCATAGCAAAAAGAGATAGGGTTTAGGGGTACCCTGAGAAGGTGGTAGTCACCCCACTTCCCTCCTTCATACACTCTCCTGCATCCTCCAAATCAAACTTTCCTTTCAGGTTTGGGTAGTCGGGCCCTGGAGAGAAAAGATTCAGGTGAGCAAATGCATCCAGAGAGGCATCCAGACCTTACCCACGCACTAATGACTGTTTCCTGAAGCCCTATTCATCCTAATCCTCGTTTTATTCAGTTTGTAGTTTTACAGCAAACGTTTGCTACATTTCCCAGTACAAGAAAACTAATGCATTGAGAAACAATTAATTTTGCATGATACAAATACACACTTTTAAGAATCCAGCCACATAGGCCACAGACTTTCTTGTTATATCATAATATCATTTTTTTTTTTTAGCATTTAGCAAATAAACAGAGATCAGTCTCCACTCCTGGGATGTGTCAAGGTTATAGTTCACATCTGTGTCTAATTGTAAATATAATTGCTAGAAACATTTTCAAACACCCGTCAGCTGGATCTACAATTCTGAAGTTGCTTGATTCACTCATTCAACGACTTTGTGCTGTGAGCCTAACCTGGTCCCATCACTGGCTGCTTAAGGGCCAGTCAGTGGCATAGGCACCTCGGGTGTGGAAGTGAACAAAACAGTAAAAATTCTTGCTCTCCTACCCTTTACACAAGTGATCACCACTCACTATCATCATTAACATCACGGACACAACACGCACCTCTCACATTAACTTGGGACTTAAGAATGCGTATTCAAGCGACTACTTGACTTAGCTTCATGGGGGGGGGGTAGAATTCTTAGCACTGAGCATGACTGACACTTGAAAACTAAAATGATTAAATGTGCACTTTCCTCCTTTTCATGAAACATTAACAGGCAGAGTTGTTGAACCATGCATTTCCCCCCCAGTTATCAAGTGCAGACAGCCGAACTCTGCACTTGGCTCAGAGAGGGTTCGACTCCGGATCCCCCTCCTGCCCTCCCCTCCCCTCCCATGCTGGGGTGGACTGCTGATCAGTGTTAACCCTGCATCTCCGTTCAGACTAGGAAATACAAAAGAAGCTTCCTTTTCAGCTTGTCTCTCTTTATGGGAAAGCTTCGGCCAGTCTTCTCTGCTGTTTTTGTTTGTTTGTTTTCTTCTTTGCAGGGCAGTCCTACTGTTCTTTAAATTTGTACCTGCAGGTCATGACCCTGTTACTGACCTCTATGTAGAATTTTTCCACTGAGCACAGGAAGGAACCTAAAAGTACAAAGCCAGGCTTGGCTCTCTGACCCACACCGGGCAGTTTACCTTCAAAGTGGCCTGTCTTTTAGTTTCTCCAGATTCTGTTGTATGGATTCGGCCTTAGAGTCAGTCATCTGGAAAGACCCCGAGATTGCTGTGTGAATCTCTCTCACTGCCACTGTGTAGATCATGAGGAACAGGCAGAAGAACACCAAAGACAGTTAACAATTCACCCGACCAGCTTTACTGTTCCAGGAATTAGAAAATGTCCCTTGGTCTGTGCATGGAAGAGCTATCCCTGTAAGGATGGAGATCGGTCCCTCCCTTCTGGTGGTTGGTGGGGGGCGAGGGAATGCTGTCGTTTTGATCTAGGTTTATTAAGCAAGAACAAGAGTCAGTGTGGAAGAGAAGATCAAACACAGGTAAGCCAGCCTGAGGAGAACCTGGCCCTGAGATGACCCGTGTCTCCCTTTCCGCTTCCAGAATGGTCTCTTGGGGAGTCACCGGCTGGCGGAGAGGAACAGGACAAACAGAATGCCAACTCTCAGCTGTCCACCCTGTTTGTTGAAAAACCTCAAACAGGATCAGTGAAAGTTGGTGAGTACTGGCCCAGAATCCTTCCCCTTTGCACATACCACAAAATATATATATATATATTTTTTTTTGGTTTTTCGAGACGGAGTTTCTCTGTGTAGCTTTGCGCCTTTCCTGGAACTTACATTGGAGACCAGGCTGACCTTGAACTCACAGAGATATGTCTGCCTCTGCCTCCCAAGTGCTGGCATTAAAGGCGTGTGCCACCACCGCCCGGCAATAAATCATTTTTAAAATGAGGTTTTCAGTAACTATGAGAACATCCGTCACATCCATGCATTCAGATACCCATAGGAGATCTTGTACGCCATTACTCCACTACCTCATTCCCTAATCCTAATCTTTGTTTCTATGGATTTACCCACCCTGCTTATTTTATACAGATGGAATAATTATGGAACATGCGGTCCGTTGCGTTTGGATTCCTCTAATCAACATAACGTGTTTGGGGTCCACTCCCGTTGTTGTTTCAGTATTCCTTTTTATGACCGAGCAATAGTATATTGTGCATGAACACTATATCATGCAAAATATCACTATATCATCCAAAAGATGGATGGTAGTTATTTGGGTAGTTGTTAGCACATAGGGAGTCCAATGTCTGACCCCGAGAGCCAATATGATTGGGTTTAAAATGTTGGTTCTGCTTCTTGCTAGTAGGACAGACCATTTAGCCTCATTCCACCTCAATTTCTTCTTGTGTAAAATGAGAATAAAGAATGAGGCCTGCCTGTGAAGTACTCTGAAGCAGCTCTGAAGACTGGAGTCTGCTGTCACAATGACAGCACTTGCCCCCCAGCAGGTGCTTAGGATGCCCACAAGTCTGTTCAAGTGCTAGATAAACTATGTAATGTGTCTCGAGGACAGCTGGTCAGACAGATGTTGCAGATTTGGAAATAATTATTCAAAAATATTCATTACATGCTACCTGGTTGTGCTGGGTACAGTATACCATATGAACCCACATGAATTATAGTCTAAAAATAGGAACAGACAAGAGAAGTTAACCAGTTAACCACAAAAGCTACATGCCAGGAAGGAAATAAACAGAAAGCCGAGATAGAGAAGAACTTAGGACCTCCTGAGTTTTAATTTAGCAAATTCTTATGATCATAATCAGACTTGAGTATTGACCAGATATCATGCAAATGAGCACATAACTAACTATATCTCAGACTTTCTTCTTTCAGGCCTAGCGTACAAGTAGAAATGTTGGCTCCTTGTATGTTCTTGTAAGGCCCTGAGACACTCGGCTAGTGGCCAGACTGTTTCTAATGTCCCCAGAGCCTGATCAGCAACTACACAGTCTCTTCAAATCACCCCAAAGAGACTGGTTTAACTTACTCCCAGCCCTGTCATTACAGGCACCCCATCATCTTGAATAAGAAAGACATGCATTTCTTTTGTGGAAATGCATAAATGTAAATCCACATTTAAATATTTCTTTCCACCAATATCTTCATTGCTTCTTTTCTGATTCAAAATTCCCAAATGGGCTGCGGATGTGGCTCAGTGGTAAAGCACTTGTTTATCATGTACAAGACCCCAGGGTTCACTTCTCAGATAAATATATAGAGAGAGATATATATAGAGATACATATGTATGGATTGATATATATATAATGAAAGTATGTATGTGTATATCTGAATATATATTATATATATAAAACCTGAGTATATATAATACACAATTATATATAATATATAAATATATATTATTCAGTGAAAAATATATATAGAGAGATACGTATATACGTACATACATACATACATACATACACAGAAACTTCCAAAGCAGATCAGATGGACGTTCTTAAAACTTCAAGGATACTTATCACAAAGCAGGGCTGATCCATTGTGCCACTGTGAAAATGTAAGCTGGCTCTCTACCGTACAGACCCGTATCAACTTCTTCTGCTGAAAACAAGACAAATGACAGTTTCTAAATTCGAGATTAAGTCCTTTGTGCTTTTTCTAGGTGCAAACATCACCTTTGTAGCCAAAGTCAAGGCTGAAGACCTTCTTAGAAAACCCACGATCAAATGGTTCAAAGGGAAATGGATGGATCTGGCCAGCAAAGCTGGGAAGCACCTCCAGCTAAAGGAGACCTTCGAGAGGCAAACTCGGGTACGGTCCTGAACCCCTGGATCATCCCTTCTGTTGGGGGGTATAAAGCTGTTTCAGACTGCTGCATGGTCCCCCCCCCAGGAGTATATTTCTATTCACCCCAGATAACTAAGACAATGACCTTAAAGAACTTTAAGATCTCACCTAAGTCCAGTTTGGTGAACCAACGAATCCACTGGGGTTATTTCTAGGGGCATGTAGGAGCTGCTCAGCTACAGCTACAGCAGCAGCGTGAGAAAATCAGGAGCTGCATCACGAAACACCTTCACCCCAGCGTGGGCGATGGTTCATGAAAGCTGCATCACCCATCTTCAGTGCAGCTTAGCTGACAGCTGGGCACTGTGGGTTAGCCTCTCCCTCAGTAATTCCTTACTGTTTGTGTAACCAGGGGGGAGGGGCCTTGTGAATCTCCACATTCTCTCCACAAGGGAATGTTAAGAAGGCTTGTGATGGTCTCCAGCTGGTGATTCACAGCTACTCTGATTCAAAATGGCAGCGATCAGATCCAAACCAGAGGAAATAGCTACACGACACAAGTTTAGTTTTGACAGATTTTCGTCCCTCTGGGTTATCATTCCTGTGTCTACACTCTGTTGCAATTGTCTTGCTGTGTCTAGAAGCTGTGGGGCACAATCCACCCTTCTAGACCGAGACATACTGGATATAGATACTGTCTTATCTTTACACCAGTTCTGAGAAATTTGTTAAGCAATTGAAAGGTGAGCACCTGTCTCTGCCATAAAGGTCAGTCTAGAGTGTGTCTGGATGCTTTTTATTGCAGATCTACACATTCGAGATGCAGATCATCAAGGCCAAAGAGAACTATGCAGGAAATTACAGGTGTGAGGTCACCTACAAGGATAAATTTGACAGTTGTTCATTTGATCTTGAAGTGCATGGTAAGAGAACCATCTCGCCTAGATAAATGTGACTTTTTACAGGGTGGAAAGGGATGGAGAAGAAATTTATGTAATGCTATCGGATTTGGGTGATTTAACTTGCATTTTGTTTTGTTTTATTTATTTATTTATTTTATTTATTTATTTATTTATTTATTTATTTATTTATTTATTTATTTATTTATTTATTTTGAGACAGCTCTGTCTGTCTTGAAACTCACTCTGTAGACCAGGCTGGCCTTAAACTCACAGAGATCCCCCTGCCTCTGCCTCCCTAGTGCTAGGATTAAAGGTGTGTGCCACCACCTTAATTTGCATTTAAGATTGTGTTTTTCTGATTGTGGAGGATTTAGCAAGCCTGATGAACCAGTATCATCTCTTGCTATCAGTATTCCTTCTGTCTCCCAGAGAAGGAGGGTATTGTTTTTTCTAATGATTTAATCTGTTGCCTGAGGCCATTTTTTTTCCACTGAAGTTTGGGAACAAGACAAGGATGGCAGGAAGCCAGGACAGAAAGAAGAGAGATGTTCTCTACAGTGACTTACGTCGCATAAAGGAAATTCTCCACCCATGTGTTCCATGTACTGCCCAGAGAAGACACAATATGGATAAATCTTAGGGTACATTGAGGATGAATGAAATCTCCACTTTTATAAGTGTACAGGTAGAAAACCAACTTGCCAGCAACAATCATGAACTTAAGATAACTTCATCAAAAAAAAAAAAAAAAAAAAAAAGCTGGGCAGTGGTGGCGCACATCTTTAATCGCAGCACTTGGGAGGCAGAGGCAGGTGAATCTTTGTGAGTTCAAGTCCAGTCTGGTCTACAAAGTGAGATTCAGGACATGCTCCAAAGCTATACAGAGAAACCCCGACTCGGAAAAAAAACAAAAACAAAAACAAAAAAGATAAGTTCATCCAAATGTGATGTAGCCACAATTTTTTTTTTAAAGCCAGTATTGTTTCAAATGGAATTATTTACACGGAATGGAATTGAGTTTTAGGAAGCAATGCTTTTCTCTGCAACATACTGCTTGTTCCACATTTGGAATGATGTCATTGGTCTTGTGTACAGCACCTCAGCTTGGATCCCTCTGGAGGAGGGTAACCAGGATCACGAAGACTCCCAACCACACCCTTGTCCTACTTGAGTGTGCGTGTGTGTGGGGGGGGGGGAGTCAGCCTGGCTCAATGCACAAAGAGGAGCAGCCACACCGAGGGGAACTCCCTTTCCTGTGCGCAGGCAGTGTTAGGCAGATTAGAGAGGGTGAGGAGACTATGAACTTTGTCCTCAGTTAGGGTGGACTCTTCCAGCAAGCTATGGAGACAAGCGAGGTGTGGAACATGCCTCAACCACTCAGGAGACAGAGACAGGAAAGCTTCTGCAATTGAGGCCAGCTTCAATTGTTTCAGGCCAGATAGAGCTTTGTCTCTCTGTTTCTAAAATAAAAATAAAAGGAAGGAAGGAAAGAAGGAAGGAAGGAAGGAAGGAAGGAAG